AACAAACAAATCAAAACATCGCCCCAGTGATCAAAAATTTAAAAAAACAACGGACGGAGTCAGACAGAATCAGTCATCGTTTCGAGGCTCTCAGGCATATTTTTAAGACTTTTCATGATGAGGCACATAATTTTTTTAAGTGGACAGCGTATCGGAAGCTATATTGGAAGTGTCTCGTGAAATATTCAGCACATTTTGTGGTTTATTCTTCTTTTATCTTTTAAACAACGCAATGTATGGGCAAGATTTTGGTCGGTTTTCAAGGTAGGTGAACATGTATCTATTATTTTTTCGATTCACAGATTTTTTACGAAGTTCTAGATATTTTTCCTGGATTGTCATATCGATTAACTTTTATCATGTTGAATGTGGGGATGGTAGACAACCTAGAATTTTGGAAGACAAATTTTGAATTCCTAGGTCCAAAACACGTACGTTTTCCACACCCGGGTTTCTCACAAAAGCCGTGTTATTACTTTTTTTCGCATTAGTACGAGCCTTTGCCTTTTTTCTTTTCAAGGCCAAAACAACTTTATTAGTCTCATGGATATTCACGTCCAAAATCTCGCCTCACTTTGCCGAATTTGCGGGGATGAAATTGAAGATCATAAGCGCAAGGTACAGAAGGTAGATACTAACCGCTTTGTTTCTGAAATTCACTAATCTGGAAAGATTTAATGTTGTTGGATTCTCCAAATGTTCACCCACTGTTAAAAAACAATCAAAGAAACAAGGCAAATCTCAAATGTAAATGCTGTATTTCGCTACTCATTGAACATGCACTGATACTACAGCAAGCAAAGAAAGCACCAGATGCGTGAAGTCAACACGAAACAACACAAAAAAACAAACAAGAAAAATTAATAAATTTGAACTTCTTTCTATTCTTGTTATGATGGCTGGTTCTTTGATTCTTGTCCTGTAGAAGTTAATAGGTAGTACCAATCCTGTTTTGTAGGATCTCAACAAATTTTCACACTCCCTCTAAGGCTATTTCTATCAAAAATCTTGCAAGCCATGCCAGTGAAGCCACGACCTCTGCGATCGGTCAGGAATCAGTTCGAACACCCCAATGATTCCTTGCAATGATTAATGCTCTTATTCTCTTACATGAAATGTTTTCTTTGAAATATTAAATGTGAAACCTAGACGAGTACTGTAAGCTCATCTTTAATTCTGTCCGACTCCGTCCGTTGTTTTGAAAATTTTTGATCACTGGGGCGATGTTTTGATTTGTTTGTTGATAAACACAAGTGCGCCGTCTCATTGGTTGAAAAGTGTCGCGTGACCAGTTGGTCCTGTCCTTAAATTTAGGGATATTCCGGACTGTAAACAGAAAGAAATCAATCTTTAAAGAGACTTTGTGAATATGGACGAAAATGCTTTAAGTAATGTTTAATAAACGAGCACCAGTGTTTTATCGGGTTTAAAATCACAAGCCGATGACGAGCGATTTTAGACCCGAGAAAACACGTGCTGCGAGTTTATTAAACATTACTTAAATACTTACTACAAAGTCAACAAGTGCAGTGAAAAAAGTAGTCTTTGGAAAATTTTTTATGGAATGGCCGAATGGTAGCTAGGTAAATAAAATCCAGTACTCGAGCCTTGCGTATTCACAACTGGCAAGTCTTAAGTGCAACGCTTGGACACTACTATATTATTACCGCTGAGTCACTGACCTTTTGGCTGATAAAACTGGTGAAAGAACAAAGTTTGATTTTGTGCAATAGTAAATTTACCTCTTGTGTTATTTTGAAAGAACATGAAATATTCACCCACCATTTGTTGTGTCAGTTGCTGTGCTTATAATTAATATTCATAAGTATAAGTCACGTGCAGTGACTTTATATCTGATACAACAGCGCATACTAATAAGGGGAGGTTTTATCGATATAAAGTCACTGCAAATGATATATGATCGACTATTTGATAGGTCAATGGGCTTATGAATTATGAATTAGTTTTTGAAGGATCTGTCACGGAGTTTTTGTGTTACATTTCGTCTCACGTGACATTTTTGGTCTTACATGTACGCGATCACGTTTGGAGCACGTGATCATGTGATATTTTGAACTGAGTAGTTTTTTGATTGATAATAGATTTTTGATTACAGTGCACCTTTGAGAGAATTGTAATTTTTGTCGAAGACTAATGTTCGGTTTTGAAGTCAAAATGTTTTGGCAAGTGTATCGGTTTTGAATCCCGTTACTGTTGGAGTCCTATTGGTTTCGATTAAAATCTATCACAGGTTCACGCAACGCCCTCTGGGTTAGTGGGTTAATAAGTGATAGTGTTCATTTCTCGACAAAGAAAACTACCCATTTTATAAACTAGGGCGTGCCTTGGGGCAGCCCAGTTAATGAAAGCTAGATTTGGGATTGGGTCAATTGCTGGATGAGTATTTACTTCCACATACAGCTGTGTATTATCCCCTGAAGAGAGGGCGTATTTCTATTGAGTTTTCATAACGGATCGATGTAGTCTGAGACCAGAAAGGCATAGTTGGACTCGGTGGAACTACTAACAAAGGGGGAATGTCGCATTAAGGTGTTAATTGGGAGGCAGCGTGGCCGAGTGGTCAGCGCGTCGGACTCGCAATCCCGCGGTCCCTGGTTCGACTCCTGCTCTGGCCACTTGCTGGATTTGTTCTCGGTAGTCCCTAGTTCAAATCCTCGGCCATGCTTGTAAATAGCCGACTGGCTGCCTCCTGCCAGTTGGGGTTTTTGGTCCTGTTATGTTGTATATGAATTATCTGTTTCTAAGTATTTGAGTGGAGTGCCCGTAAACTAGCTGGATAAGCTAAGTGCACTTTCCACTATAAACAAGCCTTTAACCTTTTTTAACCTTTTTAAAAGTCTTACTAGTAGAGGACACAGACCAAAGAAACTTATAAAATCATAAAATTTAGTTAAACAAACATCTGTTCGTAAATTCTTCATATTTGCAGCATTGCGAGTTTTCACCGATGCTGGGCTTTTTAAGTCCATGAATTTGGGGCCTGCAGCCTAGATTACAGGTTCTTTTCCGAAAAACTGATGGCAGGGTGTTTGAAAGAATAAATTAAAAACGGAAAATAAATAACAGTTGTTTGTCTTGTTCAGCAGACGCGTTGAACTCGTATTAGAATTGACTAATCTCGTAGCCAGATCTCACTCTGTTTCACACTGAAAAGTGAGATCCCCTTTCCCTTGGCCGTGGGAGATCTGGGTACGAGATTAAGAATTGACGTGATGTGGAAGACAGAGTCTTCCCTCAGTACCTCACAACCTTATACGCATACGCGAGCTCGTTACCCGTAGAAAGAAAATACATATAAAAATTTGATAACTGACCTGTTTGGTTACATCAGTTGAAAAAGTTTTCGCTCTATGGGGAACGGAACGCATAATATATAGATTTAGCCAGGGCTAAAAGCGAAGCTCTTATATATTTACTCGAATTTATAATTTAAATCAAACAATAAACTTGTTTTCCACAATTCCGTTAACTTTTGAGCTTATTCATGTGACTTTTGAGGGAAAGGAATAAGTGACTTTAGAGAAAAGTAATTTGCAAACAGTACAAGCTAAGAGTGAACTTTTTCTTACATCGAGTTGATAGCCTTATATGTACACCCAAAAAATAGCAATCATCGTCGATCACATTTAAGAGCGCGGGCTCTTGACCACAGTAGATTAGGCCTGGAAAACAAATTCTTGGAAAACAAATCAGGCCGAATTTTTTGCGTTCGACAAGTTTACTTTACAAAATCTTGCTAACATGCCTGGGGACGTGTAACCAAACCTTTTATACTTTTTATACATCACATCTGAGGTGAAACAGTACCATGAGGCGCTGTTTTTATCATACAGACCTCGGACAGAATGCAGTATTTCACAATTTTGCAAAACAAATTCCACTCACTCAATATTCAGGACGATCGAAGCACGTGTGGGCTTTTAGCGAAACCGTTAAAAAAATTTCCAAAATCACCTATACAGCTAGCCGGTTCTCATTTTTGACAAGGGCCAAAGTCGACTGTTTAAATTATGATTAATAGAGTTATACGCTTCAACATAATAAAGAATTTATTATGTTTATTTTTTATTTAATGGTTTTATAACGATGTGTAATCGTCAAAGGCGTTTGATACGCGTGGCATTTTGACTACTCCTGCATGCAAGCGATGTTCATGAGCGACTGAAAAGAAACGGCACGGCGATAAAAATTGCAAAAGAGACTACTAACAATCAATAAAAGGAAAATAATTCGGTGAAACATATACTGAGACAACAATTTTCATTCACGAAGACAAGTATTAAAGTGTCTCTGAAAATCCTTGTTTATGTTTTTCATTTTGTAAGCCGGCTTCCCGGTGTTTGCTTTTTCAAAGATGAACTCGAGGCAAGAAAATCGCTCAACGCTTTCTTTTACAGCCAGAATTATAACTAAATATTCTTTGGAACGTTTACTTTCTTTCTATTTGCGGTGAGAAAATGTCTAAAGGCTTTTTTAAAGTTCTATAAGCTTATATCGACTTATAATCAAACCTGATACTTGGTCAGATCATTGTCTCAAATCTTACAATTAAAAACGTGCATAAACTAAATAGCCGCATAAACTACGCTCGACTTCATTAAATTAGATATTAAAGACAAACGTCAAATGCAATAATTACTCAGGCTTACCATTCGAGATGCGCTGAAAACTATCAAGTAAGGGCAGAATCGCTTCAGACTTTTCAACCCTCTTACGCATCAAGCAAGGTGGAAAACGAAAACGATGCCATCCGAAATCGGATTTCCGACTTTGACAAGCGACGTATTTCTCAACCAAAAACCCAGTAAAAGCTAGTAAACAAACTAGCCATGAATAACAGAAGACTCTCTTTTTTGTATCAGGTATCAGGTATCAGGTATCAGGGTGAACATGTCTCTCTCTTTGAGAGGCATTCACTAGCTCTTTTTGGGCTTAATTTCTTCTCTATCCTAGTGAATAACTTAGAAACAAAAATCGAAATGAAAGAAGACCTCGAGAATGACCTAACTGAGGATGAAGATGCGTGCGATGAAGTTAAAAACGAGTCGAAATCCTCTCACGTGTATCTTACGCAACCGAGTGATGACCTGAATAGATACATGGTCGATAAATTCCACCCGCCGACAGCAAAATCAAAGCAAGTTCCTTACGAATCCATTGATCTATCTGTATACAAGCCTTCAGCGAAATGCTTAGGACTCACCACCTCCGAATGTCGACTATTACATTGGATTACTACCTTCGGACAAAGATATCACAGCCTATTGACCGGAAATGCCTCTGGATACAAGGTAATTTGGAAAGAGCAAGACAATAATCATTCTGCCTCAAAATGTGATAAGATAGTCATTAATTTGCTTAAAGAAACAGCCTCTTCTGATGAGCTATTAGTGGCAATAACAGTATTTATAACGACGGGCAGAATCCTTGTACAAGGAAAAGGCCATGAAGACTGGAGTAAACATGAGTTTCCGGTTCTCCTGGACATTGTAAACCAACTGAGCTCCCTGAAGAGTTTTTCCAGTATCTCTTCAGTGGAAGATAAATCAATTTTTACCGGTTCTGTTCACAACTTCTTTGGAAATGCGATCCATTTTGTTCCTGATGACGAGATCCCATCTTTGAGCCAAGGCGTAGACATCGCAAATGGCGGAACTTCACCCCTCGTTCTCGAGTCTCTCAAAATTACACCGAAGCGTTTAGGCACAATTTCCTCGTTGAGAGACACACTCGCACAACTGGAAGTTGACTTTAACCAGTTTAGAATGATATGCTCTGGTGACATTGAACAGATGAAGGACAAAATGACGCAACAAAACAATCTCTTGAAACTTCAAAAACAATTAACTGCAGACGTTTCGACTGAGCTGTCTTCCCACTTGACGTCATTCCAAGATATTGTTTCACAACAAACAACTCTAATCAAGAAACTGCAAGAGGAAAACCAGTCTCTCCAAAAGACACAAGCCAAACTCTTAGCAAAAAATTCACAGTTACAAGAGCAACACGCTCAACTATTATCTGAAGTCAATTTTCTCAAAGAGCAAGTCCGTATGTTGTGGGACCACTCCACGGGCACCTCTGAACCAGCTCAGGAGATCTCTCGTGACTCAACGACCTCAGAGAGTGTTCACGGAGAAACTGTAGAAAAATCATTAACAGAAGACGAAACCTTGCTCCTCGTTAATATCCCGACCTAAAATCGCTTCTCCCCTCTTCAGTCATCAGCTGCAAGACTTACCAGAAATGAACCTGACATTGATAGAGCTTCGGTTCCTACTCAGGAAAATACCATATCGACAAATCACAATGGAAACGAACGATCTGAAGACGATCTACCTCCTAACGTTAAAATCGTAAACACCTCTTATCCACCACATCCACCTAGTGCTGTAAAATCAAACACTGCGGTTTTCTTATGTGAGTCAAACGGCAAATTCCTTGATAAGAAGAAACTCTTCCGGCCAAATCAAGAACTGACGTTTTTTAGATGCCCCAGGCTCGAGAATGCACGATCCATTCTTCAAAATGATCTTCACGAGATCACAGAAATAATTTTAATTCACACGGGCACAAATGATTTAACAGCTACAACTTCGATTCATGTTTTTATCTCAGAGTTTTGCAACCTAATCAAAGAATCAGCAAGTAAATTCCCTATGAGCAAAATCATATTCTCAACACTTCTACCACGTGCTGATATACCTCTGCAAACCCTTATACAAATCAATAGACAGCTCATCAGCGAATGCTCCAAATTACCCAACGTACATGCCGTATTACATGAAAATATTTTCTCCAAAGAATTAAAGGATGTACTACATGATGAAAGGCATCTAAAGAAACGCCACATTGGTCTCTTTGCCGCTAATCTAGTGAATACAATCCTCGGTAGAGCTAAACAACCACGTCCTTTCCAGAAACAAGTGCCACACTCGTCGCCGCCATATCACCGTGGTAAATTCAGTTCTTACAGCGCTGCTGTCAAGAGTCCTCAGAACACTGACCTTAAGCAGCACCCGTCACCATTACACTCTCACGGTGAACCAAGACCCCCCCGGCAACCTATGAACTGGGAGGTGGACAACCACCAGTCCTCGCACTTTCAAAGGCAGCAACAACCGCCCGCGCTACAGATACCTCCTCACTTCACTACAGGCTGGCAGATGCACAGTAAACCTCACCAGGGTAAAGACTCTCATGTTGAACTCCCTCAGGAACTTGTATCTTTTTTTAGAATCATTAAATCCTTACTCTAAATAATACCTAATTATTTACTAGGATACGATTAGAACATGCCATAAGATATCATTAATGTTGGCAGATTGCTCGAATCGCTCCCCGACTGGTAGTCTGTCGTTCTTTTCGTGGAACATCAATGGGATCTTTGCTAAACCCCTTGGTGATAAATTGCAAAATAATGAATGTTTGAATTTGATATGTCAATTTGATTTCGTGATTCTTTGTGAGATTTGGAAAGAGACGATTATCGACGTGACAGGATATCGATCGGTAGTTTCAGGTACCTCAAAATTAGGAAACAATGGTCGCAACTCAGGAGGAGTTGCTTTACTCTACAAAAATGAACTCCATAATTGGGTATCAACAGAAAAAATAACTTCGAACTTTCTGTGGTTCAAAATTAGCAAACAGTACGTAAAAACCTCAAAAGATATTTATGTTTGTGGCGTCTATATTCCGCCTAACGGCTCAAAATACTTTCTCCCTGAAATGTTTGAAGATCTTGAAAACGACATTGAAACTTTTTACTCTCAAGGATCGATTCTTCTTATGGGTGACTTTAATTCTAGAACAGGAAAATATTCGGATTGTGTAAGCCAAGAAGGAAACACCATTATTACCAATGATCAGTCCCATCTTTCTTCAGGCTCCACTCATAGAAATAGTTTTGACAACAACATTAACAATCACGGCAAACGCCTTCTTGAAATCTGCAGAAGCGCAGATCTTAGAATACTTAACGGTAGAGTTAGTGGAGACTCCTTAGGAAGAGCCACATTTCATGGAAAGGCTGGAATAAGTGTCGTTGATTATGCCATATGTGATCAAACGTTATTTTCACACTTACTAAACTTTATTGTTAAAGAGCCCACGTATTTATCGGATCATAGTCCACTGGTGACCTGGTTATGCACTGACACCGATATTCGTAATCAAGATCCTTCACCAGAGAGTGATACTTTAACACGATTACCAAAACAATTTACGTGGGAAAGTGACTCTACACCAAAATTCAAAGCAGCTCTTCAATCTCCAAATTTGCAAATGATAATTCACGAATATTTAAATGACATCAATTCAGCTAAAAATGTTAACACCTCCGCGGAACAGGTAGAAAATATTCTTATCACAACGGCAAAACGATGCCTTAAGATAAGAACGACGAGACGACGTAAACGCACCTATTCACGCTCAAATAAAAAATGGTTTGATAAGGAATGTCGCTTAAAAAGACACGAATTAAGGAAATTGTCAAATGAAAAACACAGAGATCCCTTAAATACCACTCTACGTGAAAAATATCATATTGTTTTACAGCAGTATAAGAAACTACTCGCACATAAAAGAAATGAATATTACAACAATAAACTCTCAGAATTAGAGGATACAACGTACAATTTGGATACTAAAAAATTTTGGAATTGCTTAAAATCAATGGATGACACTATAAAATACAAAGACACTCCACCAATTGCAGAAGAGAATTGGATGAATTATTTCCAGTGTCTACATTCTAATAAGCCACTTACTTCTGAGCAACAGAAAGTTGTCAATGAGTTAAGAACACGAGAAGACGTCTTAATGCAATCACGACCTCTAGATTACTTCATAACAGAAGCTGAAATAAGCAAGGCAGCAAGAAAATTAAAGAATAACAAATCTGCATACTCCGACAAAATAAGAAACGAAATGATTAAAGCTAGCTTACCAACACTGCTACCTGTTTACCATAAACTTTTAATACTGTTCTTAACTTAGGAACAGTGCCTAAAAATTGGTGCAACGGTCTTATAACTCCCATATTTAAATCTGGCGTAAGAAATGACCCATCAAATTACCGCGGGATTTGTGTTTCTAGTTGTCTAGGAAAGTTGTTCTTTTCAATTTTAAACCAAAGACTTCTTGAACACGTCACTTCGCTGAACATACTCCATAAGTCTCAAATCGGCTTCTTACCTAAAAATCGAACATCAGACCACCTCCTAACATTACGAACTCTTATAGACAAGTACGTACACTGTCACGGTGAGAAAGTATACGCTTGTTTTGTTGACTTTAGAAAAGCCTTTGACTCAGTCTGGCATGACGGACTTTTATATAAATTATTACAAATTGGTGTAGGGGGATGTTTCTATAAGTTAATCCAAAACCTATATTCAAACTCTTCGTGTGCATTGAAAATAGGTACGAGTCAAACAAAATCTTTTAGCTTCTCACGGGGCGTACGCCAGAGCTGTATTTTAAGCCCCTTACTTTTCAATTTATACGTTAATAACTTACCGTCCGCATTTCAAAATACTTTATCAGACCCTATCATCCTTCCAAATGGTACCAAATTAAATTCGCTTTTATATGCTGATGATTTAATTATTATATCACGATCTAAAATCGGATTGCAGAACTGTCTCAACACATTATCTTCTTTTTGCAACTCTTGGATGTTAGATATAAATTCCAAAAAGACCAAAGTTATGGTCTTTCAAAAACGAGCGAAGAAAAACTCCAATCTAGAATTCCATATAGGTAAAGAAACCATTGATACTGTCCATGAATATACATATTTAGGAACCCGTATCTCCTCAACCGGTAATTTTAATATCTCCCTCGAACACTTGAAGGAGAAGGCTCTTCATGCTCTTTTTAGTTTAAGAAAACACACAAACTTTAGCAAATTAAAACCTTCTCTTGCTTGCAAAATATTTGAAACGATGATTTCCCCGATATTATCATATAATAGCGAAATTTGGTGTATATTTGGTGTATATTTGGGTGTATATGTAAAACATGATTTTAAAGCTTGGGACAATACCCCAATTGAAAAAACCCACTTGAAATTTTGCAAGCTTTACCTAGAAATAAGCAATAAAGCTTCAAATGTTGCAAGTAGAAGTGAATTGGGACGGTTCCCATTAATTATTAATATTTATAAAAACATCCTTTATTACATATTGTATCTTCTGCGTAAAAACGAGGATACTATTGTTAAACAAGCCTTTCGTACTTCGCTAGAACTTCACTGTAATGGTAAAAATAGCTTTTACAATAATCTTATGAAAATATCTGAATATTATGACCTCCCTGATTTTGATCCTAATAATTTAAGTGAAGCTAAGATCAAACACTATATAGATATAATAAAACAAAAATATATTGCATATTGGCAACATACAATCCATCATTCTAAGAAACTACAATTTTACAGCTTATTTAAACATGATTATAAAATTTCAAGTTATCTAGACTTAATTAGAAATTCTGCGAATAGGAAAGATTTAGTGAAAATTCGTATAAGTAACCACAAACTCATGATTGAAACTGGAAGATATAATCAAACTTCCCGCAA